TTAAGGTCTACAAATAAACTGACTGTTATATATTCCAAAAGTGTCATCTACAGCGCCATTAGCGTCTTTGGCACCCTCGGCACCGGCACCCTCTCTACCAACTTCACCTGCTGCACCGGTCCCCGTCGCAAAGCCTCTTACCAAGTTCACATCATCTTCCCCATCGTCAACTTCTACGGTGGGAATCAACAGTCAACTGCACGACGAAGACGACGATAGAGATGATGACGACGATGTGAATGGTCTGAACGAATTAATTCCCCCGTCCAAAATTGGGCTGGGTTTGGGAGACGATACGGGCAGAGCCAGTCCAGGGCGTTATATACATGGTGCCCCGTTGCATAATGTTCTAGAGGAAGAGGAGGAGGAGGAATGAGTGCACGAGCAAGTGTCATGTTTTTAGGGCCAATTGTAAAGGAAGGAGGTGGGAATGAGATTACAAGTTACACACACACACGCCGTGGCCTGTATCCTATCTTTTGTTATGCGGTTTCTATTTTGCAAGCTTTTCTTCTGTGGATCTTCAACTGTCTTAAACTGTAAGTGTTACCCTCTTCATTTCAATGCTCATCTGATGTTTATTTCAGTTTAGCTGGCTCTTGCCTACTTTATGTTAGAAAACCAATCGCTCTTTTTTTCTCTTTCATGCTCGTGTATGCGCCGCCCACCTAGTGCTCACTCTGTTTCTTGTTCCTCTGTTTTGCCATTGATTTTCGAATTCCCATCCGCATCTTTTTACATTGCATTCACGCCGGCATTCATTGCTGAACCACCTATGTTTTTCTGACACTGATTTTCTGCTTTCACTCCTTATGTATCTTTGTTTGCCTGCATACTTAAATGAAGTAATTTTCACATATTTACAGATACCCAAATGATATCCGTTTTTAGACTCTTTCGTTGGTACCAATCACCTAGTTACTCTCACACATACGGAGAAAATCCTGTCCTATTACATCCCTTGCCTTGTCGTTACTCCATTTCTACAACAAATTGATACTCTTCATCTGGCGGATTCAACTGGCTTCGTCTAAAGCAACTATGTATGACGCTTCGGAGATGCTGCTGGTTCTTGTAGTTCGATGCTGCTGTCTCTGCCATTGTTTCTCCAGGTGAGCCACAAAACTTAATAATTCTGATGAGGGCAAATGTCAACTCGGCGCTATATTTCTACCCCATTGCATGTCACTGAGTTTTACCGACAACTCCTTTGTGCTTCCTCTTCCCTTGTTCTGGCCCTGGGTAACATTCCAGAATGCTGGGGGATATCCATCTTCGTTACGTTACTCAGTGTCTTTGAGTTTATATTTTTCCAAACAAGTATCGTAAATCCTACGGTGACCTTCAGCATCCAGCAGACCCCTGCTATCCTCACCGATCTTCACTCCAGACTAAAATTACATCTTATACCCCGATTCGAAGAAGTCGTATCTGAGACGCCATTTTTGGCGTATCACTTGTGGTCGCACTGGTGGAAACTAGTTCTATCACCTAGAAAAACAGGATGAGTTCCTGAGCTGAAAGGTCTTTCCTAGTTAATCTCATCCCTATTATTGATCTTAGATGACCTTTATTCAATCTAAGCTACAAAATTCTAACATTGAGGTCAACGTGACGTTGTCTATCTTGCCCTATGTACGAGGTTATTCAGAGATTATTCGATATGCTCATATGCCATTTAGCCATTGCCAGTGTTGTGGTTAAGGCCTTATTTAAGGCCACCCGAGTAAGTTAGGACCTAAGGTCTTAAATTGAAGTCCTAATTAAGAGGTATTTGAGATCTAAATTAGGTGCGAAAATTGACACTACTAATGACCATTGTATTCGTCTCCAGAACCCTCTAATGCCCCGTCATCAAGGATCTCGTCTTCCTTTTCTTGAGCTAGCAGCTCCATAAGGAGCTGTTCCTCACTGTATGCTCCACGTCGGGCACGTCGTGGCTGACCCCCCTCCAAAATTTGAGTTTCAATTGCTGAATGCCCAAACAACAGTGCTAATGATCGCGGGAGCCATGAGCGTGAACGTTGTCCCGTTTCAGGGAGTGGCAGTGGACCAGCTTCCGAATCATTACCAAAGTTTTCATCGTGTCTCTGCGCATCTTCTTTCCACTGCGCCATTTCTGCCCGCCATTTCCTGCGATTCGTGATAAGGGTGGACCATGGACTGTTTGCGTCATTCTCCTGTAATACTTCCCCATACCTTGGTACCTGCAAAAGTGCTCCAACTCGATCTTCAGAATGATTTCTTCGAGTGCTCCGCGTCACTTTGAGGCCATCATTTTGATGATGCTCACGCAAATTTTCAATAATCTGTTTGTTTTTCAGTACGTCAATGTATAGTAAATGATAGATTGAAAAAGGCGAACCTTGATAGATTGCTCGAGTTTTCTTAATTGCAACCGGTTGCGCAAACGATCCTTACGGATTTTGACCTTTGAGAATTGACGTTCATTTCCAGAAGTATTCAATACCGTTTGGAGAACAGTGAGTGCAAAATCTGCTAGCTCACATACTTCCCGGTCGGCTTTCATACTTTCCCAAAAAATAATAGGATCATCATTCTGGAGAAACGTTGTGATTCAGACTGAGAGCAAGCATTACAAGTGTTATGCATTAGCTTACATGAATCTTCTCGAAATCTGCCTTAAGCTGATCCCAATCCTTGAAAGGCCCTGTAGATGAGCAATAATGCAGGAATGCTGCGGAAAATTCTTGACTTCGACGTAGCAAGCCATGTTCCCATTCCTCTATCTGTTCAGGGTCCAGCTCCTCAGGGCTAGGGTGGCTCGTTATCTTACCAAACAACTGGAACCTATCATCAGTACATTAGATTGCATAGACAGTTTGTAACGCACCTCAGTAATCATCACGTTTACATTGATTATATTTGCACTTGCATCTGGTCCGAAGGAATCCAAGCGCTCATATGGATTCAATATAAGAGCCGTGATCATGAGAGGCTGATTGAAGCCTGCCCAACGCCGTTCAAGCCGTTCCATCATTCCTTTCGAGACATTTGCACGTGCAGGAGGGAGGTTTTTGAAGTACAGATACATCCCGACGAAAGCTAAGAGCACAATGTCTGGACGAGCCCGATCGCTCTGGCAGATATTGGTGACATATGCAATTGGCTCGAAATCTTCTACTACACCAGCAAGTTGACGCCAGAAGTCCCCACTCTCGATTACTTCAATCTGTTCTTCGGCGGCAGTACGAAGAGTCAGGGCTGCCAGGGTGTTTTTTTCTGCACCTACATGGGCCCTGATGATATCATCCCATTTCATGACAGCTGCAGTACGGAGTGGTTGTTTGAGTTCAATGAGACGTAGAAAAGCAACCAGATGTGTTGTCCATCTAGTCGCATTCGCAATGAGGTAGGACTTGACTTGTTTATTTTGCTCGTTTTGAATGTTATTGAAGATTGCACGAACACGGCCATGGTTATTGATCCATCCAATAAGCTCTGTTGCTTGCTCTGAGATTTTTTCGGCATCGGGATTGACTTTGAAATAGTCGGCAAGGCACAAATGACCCTGCAGAATTCGTGCGTGAGTAATATGATATGAAAGGCATTGCCAAGAACCCTGACCTGATGAGCTCCACATGGGAAAGTTAGTATCCACGGGCGGTGTGTTCCAAGTTTAACACGTCCTGCTTTTGTGCCCCCATCATTGTCCGTCCCCAGACCTGTCACAATACACCCATATTTCTTCTCAGCTTTGTCGACCATTGCTCCCAGTGCAGCCTCCATCGAATCTCCATCCTTCTTGTCTGCTGTTGCATCATACAAGTCAATGAGGCGAGGCTATAAGAGTCTCAGTAGAGGTATGCAAACAAAAGACTCGAGAATGTACTTTGAATCCTGACGATATGCTAACACCCATTAGATTGTTCTTAGAGATATCCTTGACACCATCGCATCTGTTACATATATGTGAGTACTACTTCACATGTTTAAATAACTCAACAGAGTCGACTCACATCAATGTAACCTTTTTCCCTTTCAACTCGGTCTCTAGTTCCTGCTCTACACGTTCATACTCCTCACTCAACAACCTCCCTCCCACAACTTCACGAGATGGAATGACTTGCCTGCAGCTGACCGGAACATCAAGAACAACTTAATGACTTCAGGATCCTCGACCCAGAGAAATGGAAGGTTTGCAGAGATTGTTGCGCGGAGAAATTGTTTGTGTATGGCCTTCTTTTCTTCGTCGTTAAAAGGTATACTGATCCCTTTGAATACCTTCAGTTTTGTTTGTATCGTTTCCACTCGATCGACTGCTTTACGCTTTTTCGATGGTTGGGGACTACTGGTGTCCTCAATGACTTCTACTTCAGCCTCTCTCTCCCGCTTGTGATTCTGGAACTTCCTTCGCAGCTCGTTTGCTTTTGCTTTTGCCGCAGGTGATGCAAAATGGCAAGGCTTTTCACCACCTAGAATATGTGCTATCATCGCTTTTTTCTCTCCCAAGACCGATCCCACAGCTAGAGTTGCTTTGATGTGTAACCATTAAAATTGTACCATGCTAATAAGAATTATAAATGTCATACCATTTTGGAATTCAGTATCATCTTGAAGGCCAACCATCGCTTCATCGTCTAGTTGAGTATTGCCATTGCCAAGCTGGTTCCGGATGCAACCTAGACAAACAGCTCGGAACTGAGTCGAGTTTGCTTTCGGTCCTTGCCAAAAGTATTGCCACATTTCCCCTTTCATCTTACCCATTTTGTGATGCACTGGACTAGTATTGTATGTACTTGATCTCATATCTGTCGCCCGAACTTCAGCGGCGGCGGCAGTGGGTCACATGTTCATAATCTCTTAGGTCTTATTTAGGTCCTCAGAAGCCCCCAGCTCAGCGTTAGGTCCTAATTAGAAACCGATTTAAGGTCTTAAACCTAATTAGGACCTAAGTCTTAACCACAACACTGGCCATTGCGGAAGTGGCGGTTGTTAGGCCTTCTTTATGAGGTTATCAATTACTTTACGAAATTCCAGGCGCTATAGCCAAGTGGTTACGGCGACAGATTAGAACCTTCACATAAAGTATCTATCTGTTCCTCTTTGAGGGCGCAGGTTCAAATCCTGCTGGCGTCGATTCAGTCTTGGCAATGGGGGACTATTGTTAGTTTTTGATTTTTTATTCGCTTGCTGATTCTCAAAGTATTTGTTTGTCCTCGTCGGCATTTATTTACTAAATCGAATTATCAAACAACCGTAGAAAACTTCTCCAAGCTACCTATGAAATTCGCCCATCTCCCATCCTGCCAGCTCGAGATATCGTTCCATTCATCGCTCTCAGTACCAAATCCCTCTTTGCACCACTGGAAAATCCCCGCTAGAACGAAATCTGCAAACGATGGATTGATGCCGCAAATGAATTCACCTCCGACCTCTTCCTTTGTCCTTCGGCAATGACCGTCCAGCAACACTAATGCCTTCTCGAGTTTTCTCCACTCTCGTACACGATCATCTCCGCGAGGGGCCCACTCCTCTATCTTCACATTGTATAATGCTTCCCTCGTGCGCCGGAAATACTCTTGGCTCCTTCCAGCAGGAAGCTTCTGGAATACAGCTGGACGGAGGAACTGTCCTAGGTGGGATACAATTCGGAAATTGGCATATTGAACGAAGACAGACTGCAATGCTCTGGTTCCTGGAGGGAACAGCCGGGGAGTGTCTGGGTATGTGGTGTCGAGATAAACAGCTATATTGAATGAATCGGAAATAGTCTGGCCTGTGGACGGATCATAGATAACGGGCAGTGTATATTCTGGGCTTATGCCGTCGTCTTTACTGTCTGTTGGAGCAGCGCCAATCTTGATGCAGAGAGCCTCGATATCAGGATATTCGATCCATTCTGTTCGATATGCAAGCCCTTTATAATTGAGGCAGTACCTTGAGCAACATGAACATCCCCATATCACGTTCAACAACTTAACCTATACACACCGCGTTTTCCACGTATTGGGTGACCAGCAAATGCTTGGCTCCGCAAATGGTATATCGTAAAAGATGATCATCTTTTCCACCATGGTATAATAGTAGAACGAGAGCAAGATGCGATTTGTCATGTAAACTCCAATTCTCAACGAGCCAGATAGGCTCACTTCTATCAGATGACCTTTATGTTTCAGGAGCCTTCGATTAGTTCTTCATCCTAAAATACTGTGAACTTCTCCGCATTCGTCATTATGCATTAACTCATCACCGAACACCCCCCCTAGCTAGCAGATGTTGTTCGTAAGTGAGAATGTAGAGAAAACGTCAAGGCATTTCCCGATCTGAGTACTAGAGGACAGACAAGGTCAACAACTTGAAAGCTACCCTTATATTACCCTTTAAACATTCATCTATCCGTTAAAGATCCCAGCAAGGCCAGACTGTTTATGAGCAAGAGCACCCCGCGAACTTTCAGGGGGACAATCCAGAAACGCCTGAAGAATGTTCTGCGTTCGATTGAGTAACTCAGTAACGCAAGTAGATGACTTCTGGATGGTAAGCCTCTTCATATTGACCAACATTGATCATATAAGACCTTCCTTCAAGTCCGACTCCAACTGGCCCTCGGCTTCCTCCGGTATTGTTCAGACAATTCCAGAGAGAAAGTCCGCTCATGAGGCATAGTATAACTTCATAGTAAGTCGAGGATGACATTTTGTTTTGAAGCGCCATTGGCTCCTGCTACGAACACGGGCCTTGGTGGTCGGTTTTATTAACTTGATTGGTTTACACAGAGAGGTCACCAAGCAGTCTCGATGTCACTGATGGGCGTAAAAAGGTTGGCAACAGTATCAAATAGCAAACTAAACCATATTATCCGTTGCGTTCATAAGACGTATAGACATATTCTTCATCGGGCTTGAGGTAGATATGGAGACAGGCAGAAGAGCATGTACGCCGCAAGATTATTTTCTGTAAGTCAACAAGCCTTGCTCACAAAATCTGACACAACTTTGATTCCAATTCTTTGAATTCTTTACATTTGCCATACTAAGTTTTCTTTTCAACTCTCAATTGTGATCCGTACTTCCACGCTTCTTTCATCTTTGGCAGCAGTGATTATGTCTATAAGTACGTCCTTGTATTGTATTACTGCTCATTATACATAAACCTATGACGGCTCCCATCGGATATGGGCAGGTATATCGAAACAAGCATTTGTTTGAAACAAAGAGCGATTGCGGAAGGGTCCCATTCGGGTTTAAAGCTTCCTAAGTGTTAATTAAGTCAATCGAACAACGGAGCAGACGCAATAGCGACGCAGATAGTTCATCTCCTTGAATAACAAAACGGACATAAGTAGGAGGAACATCTCTCCGACTAATGACTGACTGCGTCGAGAGGTGAGGGACTGCAGTGTGCGAATGTTCTCCGTCATCCACTCCCCTTGAACAATTAAACAAAAAGCAGAACATCGCGAGAATATTTGTACGTATTGTATAAAGCTCGGGAAACATGGCATAGGCCACTCCGACTAATGACTGACAGTTTCAGGACGCGGGCATGCTCCATTCTTTGAGGTAAAAAGCGTTAAAAAAAAAACAAAAAAAAAACAAAGGAGCAATTGAGCAGCGATGGAAAGCTCCTCTCCAATCATGACTACCAAAAGAAAATGCAGTGCGCGGACAGCCTACATCGAAGTTAATGTCAAGGTGTAAGTATGTAAAGGTATATGCATCACCTGGAACGAAAATAGTAGCAGAACACGCCTCTCCGATCAATGACAAACAGCCCGAAAATGGGGGAGCAGTGCGCGGACATATCCTGATACAACTTGAGAGTGAACAATAAGTATAAAGCGACGGAGCAATGAAACGTCTTTCCGACTTATGACAGACGGGCCCGAAGGGACTGCAGTACAGAGCGTAAGTGTCTTCGACTTTGGTTAAGAAAGAAAACGAGGAAGAACTAGGGAAAAGGTTCTACTTCTGTTGCGACAATCACTGCAAACAGATCCAGGTTCAGTTCAAAGTTCCCATACTAGTCTTAGTTCCGGTAGCTTGCGCGTCTTGCAGATTCAAGTTTAACTAGCGTCACGAAGCTAGAGAAAGGATAGCGTCGATTGGGAGCCAAAACAGCATAGATGTACTACCACTCGATAGAACCAACCATGCAGAAATTACATCGGGCACCATGAACGCCATGGTCTGAGGAACGAAGGATGGAATCTTATTACCCTTGTCGGGTTTTTCCAAAGTCGTCGAGCATGACTGGCACACTGGCACTTTCTGCACCCGAGATACAGCGGAAGAATATCACAAACCGCCTACAAAAATATGTGGCCAGGACTACTTTTGTTATTGTGGGTGGTGACGTGTATTCGATCTTCAGTGTTCATTGAACCCAACAAACTAAAAGCCCGCTGAGAAAGATCAAGCGCTGAATCCATCGAAGAATCTCTAACCTGAGCGAGTGTTCTAGTTCAGAATCATGCCCTAGATGGAACAGAAAAAGGGGATTCCGGGGAAGAGAATCAGAACTGTTAATCGCGGAGATCAGAAAAATAACTTGAGTACCGGACAACTGCAGGCGTTGCCGATCCTTCCTCATGAGAAGAGCAGCTGTATGACTACCGAACTGGGAGCTCAATATCACTTAGGAACTGTTTGCGTGAGATAGTAGTAAATGTCTTACAGTCTGCAGACCTAGCTCGCTTTAGGCTATAAACACAGAATCCGAGGTCACCGTCGAATATCGAGGATCTGTCAATTGCGGAGACACAACTTTCCGGTAACATCGTTCAACCGATTCCGGGTGATGAGTGAACACAACATGCAGTGTTTGCAATATATGGTGGTATGTACTTCAAGCTTCAAGAGGCGAATGTTTTTGGGCATCACCCGGAACATCTGCATACCGCGAATCAGATATCAACATCCTGCTTCAGATGTACATTCACTGCAGCAGTAGGAAAACATGTATAGTCAGGATGGTGGTTCGAAAACAAAGTACAATGGCATAGGAGTTCAGCGTCATGTGAAGATACCTATTGCAGCTTACATCATCGGAGTTATACTCCAACTTTCATTGAAAACCCCGACCTTGACCATGACGGATAGGCAGTGTGTAGCGCATGTGGTATTTTTACGTTGGTGTTTTTTTTGAAGTGTCAGAGGCTGCGAAGAAATGAAGCAAGGAGACAAAGAACATCAGTTATAGCGGAAACGGTCACCGCCGTACTCAAGTTACCTCCAGCAAAGACAAGCTTATAGCTGGCAACAGACCAGCAATCGTAAGCTCCAGCCTTTGGTACGTCATATATACGCTGCCACGTTTGGGAAAGCGACGGTAGTCGCGGCGGGCGCTGACGGTGGAAGTCAAAGCCTAGCCTAGGACTCAGATTTCAATCCATGGGCATCGATGGCAATCGCGGCGATCTCCCACGAGTGAAGTACTGCAGCTTCAAAATCTCGAATGCATGACTATCATTGGCTACAACACGGTACTCTTGTCCTTGGGTAGAAGAATCCGCAAACGGAAAACCTCCCACCCACCGAACCCTGCGACGAACAACAGAAATCTGAGTGGTCTGGTGGTCTTTCTTAGGTTTCCCCGTCTATACGATCGGTTTTCACACAGTTAATGCGGATACTGTACACTGTGCTGTACACAATATATACTGAATTTCTCCATCTTCGATCTCGAGAAAAAAGCGTTGTCACAAGGGATTTGGACCATTGTGAGCCCAGGAACTCTTTACTTTCTATTAAATGCTAACCCTGATGCTCTGCTAGGTCCCTCCGCAAACTCCGTCGTTGAATTCACAACCATTTGAAACCAATGGGTAACCAATTATCCGCTAAAAACAGTCTGGAGGTGTTCAGAAAATCAATAAGAGGCTGTTGAAGCCCTTATGACCGCTACAGCGGTCAAAAAATTTTCGCTTTCAAGCAATCTCTCAGAATATGACCCTCTTCAAAGCTGCACTATCTGCGTGGGTCCTCATATGGCGCCTCTCAGCCTTCGCATCTTGTTCAGCCGCTCTATACACCAGTTTCGGTGAACTTCCCTCGAAGGATTATGATTTTATTATTGTAGGAGGTGTGTACCTGCTCTTATTTTTATTTTAGGCAAGTGCGAGTACTAGAACTGAT